CATTGTCTAACACAAGGTCTTACGTCAGCCACACTTAAGTTTCCACAAATTACTTTCACTTCTCCCATTCGTTCCGCTGTGCAATCCTCGATTGATATCAACGACTATGAACTTTACTTTGCTTCTCTTTTTGTCCGGTTTTAGTCCCTGCAGTATGTGCAGTCCAACAAGCTGATTGAAAATGAGAGTTTTTTCCGCTTCACCACTTAATGTTCCAGATAGTACATACACAATGGACAAAGATCATTCAGAGGTCACTGTTGTTGTAGCTGTTAACAGCTTTAAGTGTCCACAAATGCCGAAGTTTTATTAGCACCAGGAAGCCGGACTACTGGAAAATCATTGTCTTATCGATCATCGGAATGGTTAGCAAAATAAGTTCACGTGAAATCACGTGACACATTGGCAAGCTGCCCAACAGCTGAAGCGTTAGCACACCATATGGACTGCGATATACTGGTTACCAAGTGGGCTAGTTTGGTCCTCGTAAAATCAGTACAGCTAAGAAAATTTACATACACCACTGTCACATGATAGCCATCCTGACATTTACTGATCTATCGGAAATCCTACTCTTACTGCGATCAGCTGCTGCTTGGTTTTTTTATGAAGGCCCTATGAGATATTGTCAGTTGTAGTCCGTAGGTATTCCCTATTAAGGTAGTCTGTTAGCTCATCCTAGAACCTCCGAAAGGCAAATATGTCCTCACCTAGGAGGAATTTTGTCTTTTTAAAAAGTTTCCAAAGGATAATACAGAGGAATCAGGGTAGCGGACAAGATAGCAAATAATAATAGCAAAATAAGTGGTTAGGGAGATTAGTTGCCGTTCGAATCAATGACAAAATCCAATCATAATTCTAAGTATGAAAATAGTGATCGTTTAACGCTACTGAAGAGGGAAATTTCCTCTCAATCGGTCGACTGGTATCTGGAAAATTAAGCACAAAACTGAGCACAAGAAGCAGTGGCTGAAATTGCGTATGACGGCTTGAATGGGAAATGCTTCTCTCGAATCTGTAAATCAGTGGGATCAAGGTAGGTAAGTGCATTACTGGCTAACGACGAATCAGAACAAAGTTTTCGCTATAACATAGCATGCGGACATTTGAGGTGGTATAAATCAATCATAGCGAACTGTCTACCCCATGCAACTGCACTAATCAATGTTCCTTTTGAAAAAAAAACAAGTGGATAAAAAAGGAAGCCACCGGGAAGAGACGTGTCTCATTTTTCGGTAAGCGATCAGCTAACATTTCTAGTGGATGAAAATTTCACGTGCAGGCAAATTTTGAGGGATTCACTTCGTTTCTATCATCAAGGACACAATATTCCTGGTAAAAACCCGTTCGGATAACGGCACTAGATTTTAACTTGCCCGTTGGGCCCCAGTTCGTTGTAAGTTTAATTCACTGTAGATAAACCTATGCACTTTTCTAAAAGTCAGTATCGATCTTTTCACACAGTTTGTGCAGCCACTTAAATAATGGTCTAATTTAGACTCCAGTCCTGAGTACCAAAACCTAAAATGATATTTTGCAGAACCTAAAAGTGCATCTTTTTGACAACCTGTCCTCATTGTACTATAGAAAGTAATGCTCATTGTACACATTTAGAAATGTAAAGTGAATAACTTGAAATCTGAGACCTATTCGAATGAATGAGTATAAACACTCTCGAGAACTGAAACACCGAGTGGCATTTCACTTCTACAGAGATAACTATCTACTCATTGTAGATAATTAAGTATTTTTCGGTGACTTAACTCTTCTCAGGAGAGAAACGTTTAGCGGCACGATTGTGGTAACAGTGTCACCTAACTCCGGTTCGTTTAGGCCACTATTCCATCTACAGCTGTTCGTGGGCATATGAATGTGAGTATTCGTATCTGCATATCTTTTTGTTTCCATCTAATATGTTTGTATTTTAGAGATGACTTCATGCACAGAAACTTCCGTTTTTGCTAACCCTAAACCGCTGTGCTGCTACCTATAAAATACTATCCATGATAAAAAAATTCTTGCATCCCAAATGACTTTTTGCTAGTTATTCTGTGATGCACATTATCAGGTCAAGGAGTTATCTTCACCTTTGTGTACTACATCTATAACCTTATCATGACCCTTCTATCAGGAAAGTTCACATCATTTTTCCTGTAAGCGTCAAAACTGTATAGGAAAAGACAGCGTTTATTCGTTCATCTCCATTGATTCTGCCGTGACAAGAAGTGGGAAATACCGGTGGAAGGTCAGTCATTCCGTATTTTCCTAAGGTGACTGGATAATATATCGATCATTGTGCGTCAACGGCTTTTCTGGACACAACGGGTACACTGCTGACTAATGCACAGCGTTGTATCTGCACGAGCTCGAAGCAAAGTTAGGAGTGTTAAGTGAAATTTCAACAATCTCCTTTCGGTATGATGCAGTCAGCAAGGAAACGGCTGGTTCACACAGCCAGAAGATCTTGCTTATATTAGGCAAAAAAGTGATTATCTATTCCGTCCGACAATTAGGCCCTGGACGGAAGCCCGCGCTCTTTCAAGAAGTAATATTACAATCATTTAGCAAGTTTGAGTAAACGAAGAAAAAGCATGAAACCTATGGTTTTTGTTTGTCTTCAGTGTCATTTTGGAGTAAGATCTTTGTGGGACAGACGAACCTGCAATAAACTGAATGAACTTATTATTCCCGTGTTAATTAAACTTACCGTTCACACTGTCACCAATACCACAAACCTCCGCTTCTGTCGTAAAGCTTGTTATTTCTTTAAGCAGTCATTCTGTTTAGTCATGCATTATGTGCCTCTTTGGATCCGTGCGCGGCTTTGGCTGATAATAACATCAGATCAAAGGTGTTTGACCTCTGCCCAACGGGTCCGCATTGTGCTAGAATCATGTTGATATCGTTTTGCTTATCATTTTTTGCCTCGTGAAATATACTCTGAATACGTCAATCAGTTACGTAACATTTCGTTTTCTGTGTCTGGTCATCCATACATAAAAATGTGCACGCTAGTATATATATCTTGGTAAGGTTAATGTTGTCGCTAGGTTGCAAATAACTCTTCATTCAGTCTAATAAACAGTGCGCCTCTTCCTGGGTGATCTTTCGATTGTCAAGTTTGTTACCGAATGAAAGGACTGTTCAATGTAGGGCGTGTCATCCTATAACTTCAACAAACCTCCATTCCAACATTTTGCTGTTTAGGAAAGTCTTGAAACACGTTAATTTAAATTTAAGGGTGACCAAGCCTTCGGAGGTGCGTGAACCCAAAAGGCTACCGATGGAATGAGTACGCTTTCGACTGGAACATCTGGTAGATAGCATCTACTCAATCAAATCGCCTAAATGGAATGTACTCACAACAACCTAACCGTTGAACATTAATAAAAAGTCTAGACCATACCCAATGTCTTGGGCGTAACGAACTCCGGGTAGTGTGGCTAAAAGCATCGGTTAGTGAACTTAATTTGTGTTAAATTTAACCCTAGGAGTATGACAACAGAGAATGATGCTTCCTATTGCGTCTAGCATCAACTAGGTTCAGAGTCATTTTTGAGTAGTTTACCAGTTTATATCAAAAGTTTGATTGGTATAAAGCAAATGACTGCTTACACAAACTTCGGAACACATAATGACGTTTCATTGGTTTTTCTGTGTTCCGGCAACATGGCATCAAGGCAGTCATCCTACCTACCACATGTTTTAATTAGTTCGGACCCCATACAGTCACTTTTCAGTAGCAGTTTTTCATCAAGCCGCCTGAACTAATAACAGCACTTTTCTTGCTTTTAATTGTTTAATGATCCTATACTTTTATACACGACAGTCGGACTCATTGGGTTTTTGCACTTCTTGCTGTTTATTACGTATGTATAATTTTAGCTGATACCGTTTGCCGACAGGGCACTGATCCGATATCGTTCCAGCTCACCATCCCCCTGTCGATTCTGTAGACCGGTGACCCAGCAGTTGTGATGGTGTTCAAGCGGTGACGAGCTGCTGGAGTTGAACATCTAGACGCTACTCTTTCAGTTTGTTCAACCTATACTGATTTGATGAACTTAGCTCTTCACTTGTCTCCCACATGTTTGACCTCACCAGTCTCACCAACCGTGAGAAAGATTCAAGTCCAGCAAGTTTTTGTAGAGAATCTGAACACCTAGCCACCTGTCCACAGGTTTCATGTGATGCGCAACTCTAAAGTTCCGCTGTGAGGATGAAGCCATTTGAGCATTTGTCGAATTAGACGTCAAACTATTCGTATCCTCGTCGTCACGGAGACCTTGAGGAATAAATCACAGAGGTTCGGAATTTACTGCATTCTTGATGTGGTCCCTTAGGTCTCCGAGAAGCTTATTTACATCAGGAAATTGTCTAAGGTTCGACTCCCTTTTAGATAGAATGTCTCTTGAGTAGTTTTGTTTTATTCGACTCAGACCAGGTGATTAAGATCACATAGATTAGTTTTTGCCTTTGCTTCCTGCGCACTCTATCAATAACCACTTATTACTAGTCAGGGACAAAAGCCTATGACACTTGACTTTGAATTCCACTTGTAGAACTCCTCGATTGATATGATATGACTGAGAAGAACCAGTCTTGTTTTGTCGCGCGCATGCACCTGATGATTAAATGTCAGCAAGCCGAATTGGACCAGGTTTTTCTCTTGCGCTTCTTAGAATTTCTGGTTTCCAACGCCATCTAGGCAAGGTAGAGTATGAATTCACAAGACCGGTTGTGCGGATAACCTCGCCTTGTTTCCGCCTGAATCTGTCAAGCTGTAAAGTCGACTTTTAACAACAATGAGGCCGTAAAACCTTTTTTCAATGGGAGGCTTCCGTGGAGTAACTTGTTTATAATGTTTCGTTTCCTACGCTGTTGGATCTCTAGGAAATTAGATAGTTAAAAACTAAATATCCTCCACATCAATCCTTCTTGTAATGTACGTCATACTAGTCACATGTTGGCTATATTTTCGACCTTTTTCTATCCTCTAGGTTACGAAAAACGGTTTGGCATTTCAACAGGGCGTTGAAGTCGGTGACGTGATTGTAAGTATTTGCAAGACGTTGACGGTGGGCAAAACACATGACCAACTGAAAGCGGAAATTCTCCGAGCTGGAAATGATCTCGATTTGGTGCTGATTCGGTAAGATATATTACAAGCAGTTTTGCTTTGTTGGGTGCGATATTGTGTTTTACACGAAATTTGATTATTAACGGTTGCAAACATATTTATATTTTTGAGAAAAAGGCAGCAATACCATAAAGGTCAGTGAATAAAGTATGTATGGTTCCTTTGACGTCTGCACTGGATTGTATTCCATAGCCTTGAGAGTTTGACGGAAAAGAAGTTACACTCATTTCGTTTGGATGCCAGAAGCAGGTGAACTGTGAGTATTTTATCCGCCAGATTTTCCTTTGGTAAGCTAGTGAAGGTTAAATGTAGTTTTCATAAAGCTTGATTCCGCTTATCTATACGTTCCATGTTATGAAACTTTCCGATTATCAGGCGATACCGTGGGGAAGTCACTCATTTCGGTCATAGTATCCAAACACCTTGCGGTTCCTTGAGCGGCTCAGATTTTGAAAAAAAGAAATAGCAAATTATGGTGCTTGCTGTAATGTAGCAGGGGTGGTCATTCGTGGATGGTTTTTATTTTTGCCATGTGTGTGCGTGTTATTTCTGTTACGCCTAAACGTTCCCTGAAACCAGACAAGCGGAAGACTGTCGTGTTAACCAGCGTTCGTCCTCGTTGAGGTTTCCTCTACCAGGATTCATTGATAGACGTTACTAAAGTGATGACAATAGCCCAGATCAAGTTTTCAGTTTGCTTGCTTGTTTAACTCGGAAAAGTAAATCAATTTATTTACTCCTACCCATTCATATTTGTCGAAATTCCGTTTTGCAAAACTTGGGTGTGTATGAAGTTTCGTGACACAACATTCCTCAGGACAACATACCACACAGGGGCAGAGTTGTTTTGACCTTTTCCGGGAGTAGGATTTTAAGACTGGTACAAAATGTGTACCGGCTTGTTGAGAATTCCACAAAGATTGTGGAAGCTTGTGGGGATGTTTTTTGACAAACTATTCAGTGTTCGCCCACCAAGTGTCCCCTGGTAATAATTTGTTACAACTCAAATGGACTAATTTCTGAGGGAATTGTGTCTGCTGCCTCAAAGCGAACTCCTGGATTACTTAGTGATTCAGATACAGTGTGTTTACAATACTTGTGGGTCTTGTTTGTTTATACCTCGCCTAATCAAACCCAACCTACTGAATCTTCATATGCTCTTTAAGGTATCTGAGTGCTAGGTTACTGTGTCGGTCAAAGCATTTTGGTCCAAGAATTCAACTCGAAACAAAGTGTCTGAATCATTTCAGCTTGTGGAGTGATTCTGAGTTCCAAAGTTGCCCAGCCTGCAGCATCCTTCATTCCGGCAGGCCCGATGTCGCAGTCTGCTTGATTTATTAAACTACCTGGAAAGCGCTGTAAATGTTACTTGTGATTTCTTGGTTCTGGTCTCGTTTTTACACCACAATTATAGAAATCTGTTTCTGTTCCACTTCATCATTGTAAGAATGGCTTCCGCATGTGGCTGAAAAAAGTGCAAAAAATGGTGCTTCCCGCATATTCCGTTTGAACACTTTTAGCTATAGATGAATCAGAAGCCTGCAATGAACCAACGTCAGATTTTTCCCCTTACTCACTGTTATAATATATATATATATATATATACCCGATAATCACCCTACGAATAGTAGCATTCGAGAATCAACTCTTCTTTTAGGGTTAAGAAGATTCAAGATAATAGCGCATATACCTTGCAAAATAAGCTATACTTACTCTTCCAGTAACTATATCTTAAATGGACTTTGGCCGTACGATCCGTACTACCGATATGCTTTAGGACAGGTTAAATATTATTCAGGGATATTGAGTCCGTAGTTAGAGTAGATGGTTTCTTGTTTGTCCCCATGGAGTATTTGTACACGTTTTTGAGTGATTTTTCTTTCTTCTCAACGCTAAGAGCTAACTCTATTGACTTATTTTTGTCAGACCTTTTGGAGTATTCGTCCGGCTACATGGTCAAACCTATCCTGCGTGGGTTGTAGTGAGCGAACTCAATATGTTTTTGCTCTATTAAAACTAAATCACTTCGTCCGTTAGGCAATGGATATTCACATGTCGTTCACCTAGGCCCATTAAAATATAAATTTTTGAATATTCTGTCAAGCATACACTCAGATTGCCGAAGGTGCCATGAAGAACACTAGGTTAAGAGATTTCTCCACGTTTTCGCAAGATTGCTTTATTCCTTGAAGGAGTCTAACCAACAGGAATTGCCCCAACACTATGCGACACAGCTACATTGGTTTCCAGGGACGAATAAAATTAGCACAAAATGCGCTTCCACTTTAAGGGTGAGATAGAGTTAAGCCAGGAATCTTCATTAGATTCCAAACGGAAATTACTTAGTATGTTAGATAATAAAACTGGAGATAAAGTGGCGTAGTAAGAAACAATTGCTTACCGTACGCGGATAGTTCTCCAAGATAACCTGTTACAGGTGGCTGCCAGAGGACAAGTTTCTTTCGCCTCGAAGCACTAAGCATTGCTTTGGTTGGAGACTTTTAATATTCTGTTCACTTTATTGGCTGTGGAGAACGTCAGTGTTATTATATCAAATGATCCGAAGGATGATACATTGTTCTGTTAGTATCGATTTCAGAGTTTGATGTAAGCGCACCTTGGGGGCGTCCCTGTGGGAGCTACAGTTCACAGCGCCAAAAGTAACCTAAGTAGTTAGGAAATGAATTTTGACTACCTTTGATGGCTTTTTTCATCCCTTTTCTTCTGTTCTCAGACATCGTTTTTCGATAATTTTTAAACTATTGCTGGAATTTCGTTTTGCATATTCTGTTATAAAACTTGTGTACTGTAAAAGGACTGAACATGTCCTGCAGAATATCCTTGAAGCCAAGCAAGTGAGTTAGGTATCGTTCTTGAGATGCAACGCAATTGTGGATTCAACGAGCGAACATAGAAATATTCGGCAGATCTGACTGTAATTTTTGTTCGCGAACGCACAGCTGGCTTGAAACCTACAGGCCTCAACCAAAAACATTCCTGTGCAACCTGGACTAGATATTTCCTTTATTTTGTTCGCTTATGAATGCGCGTCAAGGTTAGAAAAAATCACCCTCATTTTCGTGATTAAAACACAGCACATCTGAGTTTCTGATTGTGTACGACAAAATCAATCTCCCTATGGAACTTAGGAACGCTTTATTTGCGAAGTTGCAGCAAAAGAATTGTCGACTTCCGAAAGACAGCCCACCACATATATGCACCTGATGAGTTTTCTGTCGGTGTGAATCGAGTGTACATCTGGGCCCCAATGAAAACCCGATTCACCGATTTCTTTAAGGATATTTACCTATATGCCTGCGGAGAATGCAATGGTAGATGATTGTTGCAGTGGATAAAAGGGTGAAAACCACTGTTCAGCAAGTTAGACATGCCAACTCATTACCCAGAACAAACCTATTCACCTTGATGTCATTGTCAGTCTGTCCTCATTCAATTTACAGTAAGCATCACCTTGCTGCGATCGGTACGTTTTAGAATGTATAGTTCTCAAGTCCGCTGGGATAGCTCTTATTTGAAACCAGTGGCCATATTTTTGTATGCGAATACATGACAAGAGGAGTTTGATTTCAATAGTTCTTCAGTATTTCTACTACCTTTCTCACCCGGACGACTAGAACTATTTGCATGAATCGCCTGCTTTAAACATCATGGATCACAAACTAATCGGTCCCCGTTAAGTGTCTCATATCGCATATTCGGACCAGGTTACCAGGTTACCAGGTTTTCAGGTTACCATTTCGAATTCGGTCTGTGTGCCCCTTGTGTGAGGTATTCTGGTTTCAACTGCTTAATTATCAAAATTCATACACACTCATTCTGAAAGCTTTTGCCAAAACACGTTATACTGGCCGTTCATTTGTGAACTGTATTTTAACATCACTACTTTCCAGAAAGGGAGTGGATCTTGAAAAACTAGCACAAATTGTTCCTCAAGTGTTCCAGTGCGCTGCTCGAAGCCCTCCATCGAGCATTTCCTGCGGAAGTGCAGATTATGCACAAGCGGAAAGCCCCCGGACACGATCAGGTCAGTCATTGACTCGAGGGCGTTCGTTCCGTTCAGTCAAGACAAAATCGATTCGAATTTTGGAGGAGCAATTGTCTGGTGGCCAGAGTCCCAGTTCGGCTGTGGCCACTAAGCAGCACCTTCAAGGAGCCAGAGGACTTCCAGCTGCTGGATCCATGAGTTCCTATACAACCGCTTATGGGCAAAATGTAAGTCAGGGTTATTCCGGCCGTCAGATTGTCATTAATCCAACGAATGCAGGACATCTTAGTGCGCCCAATGATTTGGCTGCAACGTATGGACAGCAGTATCCAAGCCAACCCAACTATGGATCTGATATATCGAGTCACTATGCCGGCAACCAGCGAGGAATGTGGGAGACGCGCTCTGATTATGGGGTTGGAAACGCTGGTGGTGGTGGTGGTTGGTCTGGTTCCGTGAGTCCTCACGGACAGCAGATATATCACTCACCGGATAACCCAGGCAAGTCCAACTGCCTCTGATATTTTATCCAATTATCACGCACAGTAAAAAGCTACAAATTTAGCTGATACCTAGCATTTTGGTTAGTTTGCATTATGTAGCGATGGCACAGCTGAAAACTGTCTGAAACAATGCAACAGGTAGAAAATATACGTTATGCGTTTTCCCAGCTTATCAATCATATTTGAACTAGGGTTCTTACGGCGCAGTTTTCGGACAGTTTAATGTAGAACTGACAACCGGTAACTTTGGATAAATCGGCAGCTGCCACCAGATAGACTGCTACAAAAGTGATTGAAAAGGCACAAGGGAACTGATTTACTGGTGAACTGACATTCGATGAATATTGAAAGGAAATTCCAACGTTAGTTGTTTTGGTGTACATCCTTGGGAGTAATGTAAATAAGAAAATATTACAGTTTGCGATGACTGATAGCAACGCATAGCTGGCTCATCACGTTCAGTTCGTTTTTTCTCAGTAGGGGGTGCACGGATTTCTGGGTTGTTGGTACTACTGATTTGGCAGCCGAAAATTGATCTTTGGTATACCTGCAGATGGTCCAGTTTTATTTTTTTCACAAGGAGCTCATCGGTTTGAAATTCGGTGAAGTTTTGTGTGATACGCACTGCTGATACCTCCCAAGGGGAATGAAAGAGTGGTACAGTGATTTCCGGCTTTCTCGTGTAGATCGACTTCGTCTGCAAGACGAAGTCACAGTATTCGCGAAAGATCTGTAGTACACTAGACACCAGTACACATTTATGTTCCATGCACGACCGAATGATTATTTACGAAGATATCTGAACAGATGCCTTCCTGAACTGCATTACTGATTAGCCAAATAACAATATACTGAAGAGCGATCTTTCAGAGACATTCACATACGCTCACCATGTGCCACAATTTTGTCTTTTGACTCCATTTTTAGAGGCATTTCTCGTCATATCACCTAGCGGATTTTTTGTCCTCCGGTAGCTGGCGTTGATCAAACGTGGTGTTTGCGCCGAACGATGGGATCGGGTTGACAAATACACGTCGCTGCGTCACACAAGCCCTAGTTTGAAAGGCCTGCTTCAACTGAAGTCCAGTTTCGTTGATCAGTTCCGTTGACTGCAATATTAGGGAGCAGAGCTGATGGTCCCACGGCACACGCCTTCTCGCTCGACCTAATTGGGACTATGGCCTATGGTAGCCAATACAAGCCCCCTGGTAGACTTTCGTGCGTTCATCAGCCTTGTCGATGTAGGGATTAATCGATCCAGACACGACCTACTTGTTCTAAAATCCTTGCCTGATATCCATGCTTGACGTTTCACCCACTGAGGAGAAAAAAATGTGTAGGTGATCGAACCGTCCCCAAGCGGTCTACGCTGCAGTGGGGACGATCGTTGCAGTTGAGCTAAGACCTAAGGAATTTTGAAACTGACTTTGTTCTCCGGCGCTAGAGCGGGTTAAGCAACAGGATTTCTAGCCTTGTCAGAGCCATGCAACAAGAGAATGTAGACTCTCCCCCTTAAAATGATGGGTCTCTGTTAGGTGCGGGTTACCAGAAGGAAGAACGTCACAAGTCAATAGGCGATTGGGAGGAGCCATTGTGTCGACCTTTGGAATAACTTGTCCAACCTATGTTGCATCTCACCTGTTTCCTCATCCAAAGTCAAACCATCCGTATACAGTAGGAAGCTGGATTCAAAATGTGGGAGCGATCATTAAAGTAGACTTCGAAGAGCAGATTCCCGAGGGACGCTATTGGTGAGGTGTGCATTTTCAGACAAGTAATCAATGGTATTCATTTGCATAGTACCCTTCTAAGAAAGTTAATCAAGGCCGTTGAAAGACAAGTTCATCAGCAATCACCTTGCCCACGACCTAACTGTGGTCCACATAAGCGACGTCAGTAAGACGTTCCGAATCCATATCCAACGTAGGTATTTAGCTCACTTTTATTAGACTACGATCCTCGGGATACATGCATCTGTCACTGAATAATGTAGGTCCACAGGGGCCTATGTTGGAACGATCGACTGAGGTACATACTAAGCCCATAAAGTCAAAACTCATTCAGAAAGTTAAGCTGTAATACACGCTCAGAAATTGGTTTGCTTCTCACTGCGTGGAAGAACTGGTTGGAATTGTTTGGCGAGGTGTGTGGATGGATACAACAGAATCCATAGATCCAGAGTTGTGTCGTTTCTACAGTTAGGTAATGCCCTGATTACACATGCTATGGAAATCAAGCGACGAAATCAGTCTCTTTCTTTTTAACTGGAAGGAATTTTACATGGTTGGCTATCCACCTTGCTAAAACCTAAAGGAGATCCTCAAGCCAATTAAACCGCACTTGTTAAACTGGGCATGCCCTGCTGCGTGTGCGATTGTAAATCATTGGTAGAACGCTAGTCTTAGTTGATTGCTTTCCTTGATTTACTATGCCTGGATTAGGCAAATATGAACCTACCGGTAGTAGGATTTCGCACTGCTCTACTTTTTCTCTAGGTTCTGATTGAAGTGCAATGGACGAAAAGTAAAAATCATCCATACAAGAGTGATCAACTGTTCCTGTATTATCTCTAGTCCAGCTCAAATCCGAATGTCTTCTTCTGAGACTGATAGCATTTTCGAATTCCGCAACTCGTGCTTTTTTCCATTCTTCGTGTACAATTATTTAATCAGCTTATAGCTAGTAAAGAAGTTGGAGCTGCTTCGTCCAGAAGCCATTGGTGACTCACTTGGACACTGGTGATCGCGGGACGTTCATAAGAGTCATTATTTCTCAGTCATAACATAAAGTGCGCTATAGGGGTTAATTATTAACAGGAGGCCTTTGCATTAAACGCCTCCTCAAATAAAATATGGAACTGCTTGCGGCGAGCAACAATTTTATGGAATATGGCATTTAGAAGTCAGTCACTCGGGGGCATTTTCAAATGAGCAAGACAGATACAGGGATGAGTGAAACTGTCATCATCATCACCATCAGAAATGAACTGGGAACAGTTAAGGGTGGTTAGCTGACAAAACTGTTCAACAAAATTAAGCGAATTTGTAGGTCCGGACAAGCGTTAAAGAAGGTAGCTCCAAGTCTAGCCGTACAACTCCAAATTTAGGTGGGTTGCAAAAGCATGCTTTAAGGATGATTGCTGCGTTTATGTGATGTTACTGTGACAAAATTCCAGAGACCAGTTGGACAGTGCACGCAAGCACAACTGACATTTATGTGGAATCAGCACCAACACAATTGCCCCACATACGACTGACACAGATAATTCAAGTTCAGTCTGTCTCAACAAACGTTTACACTCCTCATGAACTGAAGACGCAAGGTTGAGATAGGATGTGGAACCTTTGGGGTTCGTCATGTCGGATCTGATTTCTTTGATTGAACATTCGGCAGAACGAAATCCCGTGGAAGGTGTCGGACTAAATCTGCTGATAAGTGTTCCAAACCAGATGGACCATGGATCGGCGTTTAGAAGTTGTGCGGTGTCACGTTTTACAAGGTTTTGTTTTCTGCATTGAGAACTATACTACTATATACTATATACTACTAGGCAGATGCATATTTATTTCGGCAATCATTTGATAGTTTGAAGATCCCAAGTTTTATGAAGTAGCTTGTATAGTTTTCCCGTAGTCTCTCGTCAATAAACCTAGGACGTAACAATCCGTAAGGAGTGGAAAGAACGCTTCGTTCTAGTGGAAACCGCATTCAGTAAATATCATAAGTCTTGGATACTTATGGGAAATTCCTCGTTTGTGTGAACATGTGGGAGGCATTCAGCCGTTTAATATAGCTTAACTAGATAACAGAGTGCTGAAACTGTCACCCGGAAATTGATCAGCATCCCCATAGATGAACACAAAGAGCTGGCTTCCCCGACGTAACGTTTGACTTGTTCTTTATCTTAGAATTTAAATACAGTCACACTTATTTCTTCAGCATGCCCTGTTTGCCAGAGCTACCTTGAAAGTTACCATCTTATTAGGTTACGTTTTTCGTTGTTCTAGTGGCGTGCGCAAGAACACAATGTGACCTCATCGGGTTATAGTTGTATCGGGAAATGAAAGTCCTTTGAAAGACTTTCATGTTGCGCTCTGAGAGGGTTTATGCTTACTGAAGTGTCCGCTTTTTTCCATTTGATTCAAATTGCATATTGCGTGCAAGAAGGTCTGCTTAATACAGATGACTGATTCCTCGTCAAATTGTATACCACCTTGAAATGTAGTTAGAAGAACCTGATGGATAGTCATTTATTGGCACGTTCCTTTATTGTGAGAGCACATATCAAGCATTTTTAGCGATTGGTGCGGACACAAGCGTGAGCTGCATTGGAACACATAATGCGTCCACTTGATGTGTCCCAAGCTCCCAACGACTCGAACGCATATTCAAGCAGGATTCGACCATCAATCGATTCAAATCTTGTTGGAATACGCCACCAAACTTCACACGCGTTCTGTTGGTTTGGAAGCCTTCCAACATTTTAAGTGAATAGTGTTCACCTGTACTATCCTCTACATCCTCAAACATTGAGCTTCATTACCTTTTTGTGGAGATTTTTGGATAATCATCTGCCCATGTACGCTTTCACATTCTTCACTGAAGATAAACCGCAATCCTTTCGTGCAAGACAGCTGATAATTTCAAACTCAGGTGCCTGGGGTATGGCAAATCAGCCTCAACTAAGTCTACTGCGCGTTGCCATCGTGCCACCCAGCCACGAGCGTCCGGCTTAGGTTATTTCATTGAAAAACTCTAAATACATTAAAACGCTAAATTTAACCACCAGAAGTAACAGCTTCGGGTAACAGCACGAAGGAAAACATGCACCAAAATGCACCAAAACCCGGAGGCAAGAATCATTGTGAATAAAAAAGGTTCTATCGAAGGAAACAACAAAAAACAAAAAAACGTTTACAAACATTATAATAAATGCGCTGTAAGGAGCAGTAAGCCGCCGGTTTGGAAAGCCTTACTGTTTCTACCGATGAGTATATTTTCTGACTGAAAATGTAGAG